GGGGGGGGTAAAATAGTAGGATGGAAAAACCCAAGCTGTATGCAGTGCTTCCTCTAGTTAAAAATGCCATGCCAATTTGTAACTTTTCTTCTTTGTGGCATCAGCAATTTTAGCAGTCAAAGCATCAGTGGGGGAACTCTTTCTTGTATTGTTTTCTGGATAGAACAAAATAGATAGTAGGAGCAAGTGTGAGCTTCTGGAGCCAACATAATAAAGTTTTCTCCTTTAGAGATTTGCTGGCACCTGTTTAGCTTTCTAGATCCCAAGACTCTAAATTTGTCTAGATTGGATAATCCTAGGCATGTATTTGCGCAAATGCTTCGAATAAGGGCATCAAAAGGATAAGTGAAGCAGATTAAGAAGCATTACAGAAAGCATGTTGAATGAATCCATGATTACTGTAAAGTTATGGCCCTTGGACCTAACGCAACTCCAAAAGCTAGCTCATGAGAGGAGGATTGTCCAAGACCATATAAGGAGACTACAGCCCATTCCCTCAACCAAGGTGGGACTTGCCCCCCCCCCCCCCNCACACACACCCAGGACCAGACAACTGAACGTGGATAACATAATACAGGGGCTCAACATTGAGAAACACAACATCATGATCGGTGAGTTTGGCTCCAATACCATGTTAAAGAATGGAAAACATGGTACCTATAGTAGTGCAAAGTTGTTCAAGTTTTTGTTGATATAGCTTTACCTTATTTTACTTTCAGGCAGATTACCCTTCAACTGCATCTATCTCACAATAAATGGTTTTAATTAGCCAATGGAGCTAAATTAGTTTCTTGCCGGTACAACTTATATTCACTTCCAAACACTATTTATTTCCTCTATCATATTAAACCAATTGTTCCTATCCAGTAAACATCGAGTATGAGCTGCAGAACTTATGGGAAATGGTTGAAGCCATTATTAATTTTTCTATGTGGTAGTTTATTTTACATTATTGAAGAAGGGCGAAACTTGAGAAGGAAGCCTTTTTATGTGGGACAAGGGGTGGGGGTTCGCTGAAGGGTTTGCAGTCAGTCTTCTCAACAGAGACCGCCAAAGTGACAGCCTGAGAGGAAAATGGAGGGAGAAACTAAATATATCTCAGTGGAAAAAAAATACAATATAGTACGACTGCAGTTTGTCTGCTCTTGTATATGCCCATGTTAGCAGAAAACATGCACTCAAGATTGTATGTGGTGAGATGAGGTCCTTCTGATCAAGTTTAGCTTCCTGCTTCTTTGATCATGTTACCATTTTTTTTATTCCCATATCGGTTGGAATTAACCTGAGTTTTGTGTTTGACATGGACGAACACGAGAACAACTCTACTCGAACATATCATCTTTAGAAACAAAGATGTCAGAGGACCTTTTAGAATTCTGTGGGAAAAAAGATATAGACATTTACCGCTTATAATGCATCTGTCGGTGTATCCCAAATGAAATAAAAAAAGATTGTCATTAGAAAACATTATTATCAGGCAAGTGGGGATGTATGATATTCCACTTTTTCTGTTTTCCATTTTGACCGGCTTTCCCGAAACTCTAACTTGCGGTTTCATCCACCCTCTAGAACAAGAAAAGCAGTGTACTCAAACTGTGTCTTTGAGACACAACAATCTGATGGTCAGTGTTGCAATGATTTTAGAATTATGTGCTTGTTTCTTGCTACATGAAGTTAGGCAGCTGATGGTCTTGAATATTAGTTTATGCGGCATCCTGGCTCTTTTTGTTTAGGGGACATAAAAGGAAGCAAGATACTGAGATACTTGTCAAAAAGAAGAAAAAAAAAAGGAGAGCATTGTGATTTAAAGGATGGAAGAGTTTCAATGTCAATTAGACACAGCTTTTCTTTTTATAATCTCATTGAAATCCCATTGGTCCTGTAACTGAGATTCAAAATCATGAAAGAATATGTACTCATTAGTTACAATTATTTCTTTGGTAATGCAAGATTGATATGCATTTTTCTCTTTGTCTTTAGAATTTATGTTCTTTCTTCTTTTCCCAGACTTCAAGGCCGGAGTATAATCAGATCATGGTGACGAAGCCAGATTGGTGGCCTTACTAGATAGACTGCACCTACGGGGTGTTTCCCTTGTCTACTTGAAGTGTATGGGTTGCTCTGTTCATTCTTTTCTAAAGTGCAGTCAGATGTCTGGATCCGATATTGAGATTTATTCCTCCTTTTCTTTTCCTTTGTCATATGTTGTCTGAACTAGATAGTTATATGGGAGAAGAAGATTTCTTTTACTAGGGAGCTTTTTGTCCTTTGAAATATGAAGAATTAATGGAATATAAATTGGTTTTCTTGTTTTGTCCCTTCATTTTCCTTTAGGGGTGGAATGGGTAGTTGATTTGATATTGTTAACAGGGAGTCGAACTTTGAAATCAGGATTATGGGGGAAAATTCCCACCAATTTAAGTTGTCTTGTTTGTCATACTAGAAATTCAGCAAATGCATATTGGGTCTACTCATATGCAACAAAACATGTCAATTTATTCGGGTCAAAGCAGTAGATTTTTGCAAGAATATATATTAGTTAATTAAATGATAAACTTACGGATAAGACTCCTTACATACATTTATTAGGTGTATCCACTAGGTATAAATATTTTTCATACACGTATTAGTAATGTGTATTAGATCATGCAATGGATAAAAATACCCTTTACATCTTGACTAGTTAATCAATTTTTAATAAGTATTCTCTCCATCTACTAATGTTAATAGTATTGGTCTAAAATTATAAGGAAATGTTCAACATAAAATTTTCACATTTAAAGGAGGAATGTAATATTTATTTATTTATTCTTCTCATACGTTTGTGTATGTCATTTTAATTTTCCTCATAAAAATTGACACAATCAATCATTTTAATTTATATTTCTAATTATCTATGCTGATAATTTTTAATTACACATGATAATAAAAACCAATACTAAATAGGATAATTGATAAAAGAATCTATTCAATTCAAGACCAAACATATTTTTGAATGATACATTGCATATCTAGATTTTAATACGATTTACTAGCATCCAATAACAAATATAATTGTCTAGGGATTATTAAGCACCGTATTATAGTATCTGCATTACATTGAAATTCGTATGCAATTACATCCATAATCAAACTTCACAGGCGAATTTAGAGAGAATTATTAGTGAGGTTCGTACCATGGAACAAGTAAATGTGTAACTTCCTCATTACATTGCCAACACCAACTGTTCCATAATATATATATATATATATATATTCACTCCAGTCTATCGAGCTTGACACAGGAGCACAAAAATACATTCTTATTCTATCATTCTCTCCTCTTTTCTTTTCTTTTCTTTTCTTTTCTAAAAGAAACACAAATATGTATCCTTCCTCCTCCTTCCTTTCTTTTCTTTGTTTATTCTTTTGTCTGATAGTAACATAAATATCTATCCCAAGTTCAACTAAAAGTCATTTTGGACATAAGGACTGAGCACAATTGCCGAAGTTGCTATATTTCACATCTGATCTGAGGCTGGTGCTGCTCTTAGTATTAACAGTGTCAGTGGAGGGCACATTGATCACCAAACACCTGCTGCTTGAGCTCTTTGGTCTGCAACACAAGCTGCAGTAACATAACCTGTATTAAAGAGAGAAATCGCTCTAATCAAAACAAGGTCACGCTATTGGGAAGGACAGTAATTAATTGCACAAAATGTTGGCTATATTACAGCAGTTAAAAAACTTCCTGATAATTAGTTGCATTAGTTGTCATTCCAGCAAAAATACCTCTAACAGTTCTTTTTTAATGAAGTACCTCGAACAGTTCTTTGGAGTAATTTTGCAGAGCCTCTTGGCTGACAATTGTAATAATCTTGCACCCTATCATATGAAACTACATGCACGTATGAAACTCAGTATAAACTGGTATTCAGGTTTGTACAAACATGTCATTATTTCATTAGGTGATGCCTAAGAAACGGAAATTTATCTTCATAGTTATAGACACTCAACTTGTATGATCTTTCTAGAATACTTCCACTCTGTTGTTGAGACATATAAAGATGCAAAGATGAGATATATAACAAGCAATGAGAAGATAGAATTTCAAATTTAAGAAAGTTACCTTTACCATCCTGAACGGCTTTCCTGATGTGAGTGGCTGCTGAATAAATGTCTTTACTCGTCGCTTACTCCACTATTATCAAGTCATAGGGGACTGTGAAACAAGCACTGGCATAACGGGAAAAGAGAAATTGCGTTTCTGATTCAAACAGTTTTAACTTCCTACATACCATGTCTTCGTTCAAGTGGGAATATCCTAATAACCCCAGCTCCATGCATTTAATGCTATGCACCAGATAACACTGAACCTGAGGAGAACACGAGCCCTTTATTTCACAAAAATTAGGTTCTGTAGTCACCAGAATTTGCCTTGCGAAAAACGTGCAATACTAGTACATCTGCAGAGATTGAGACAGAGAGCAAACAAATTATCAGAAATCTGCAAAGGGATAGCTATTAATTACAAAAAATATAGAATTGCTTTAAAACACTAGAGAATGAATAACCAACATATGTGCAAAGAAACTACGAGGCAAATGGGCAAGCATCAAGATTATGACCTCCCTTTACCGACGATCAACACGTCTACCAGAAGGATAGATGCAAACCTTCAAAGAAAACATTGCTTCATACAGGAGATTTGGAGGTTAAATTGTTTCTGATAAACAAGGCAGAGGGTTCTCCAGAGATGATGAATAAACAGTTAATTCACCAATTGTTTGCAGACTTAACATATTACAAAGTGACAAGTCAACCTTGTCAACTGAAATGCATTTTCAGAAAAACAAAATGACTTTAAAGGATTCTGTACATCTCCAGCAATGAAAATAAATTTACAGGCAACTGTAATTGATCAATGGTACAAGATGATGATTTTTATAATTATAGAAATGAAGATGCTGGCTAGTAGTTCAGGATAAAATCATCCCTCTCTGTCAAAGTTATTATCACCAGGTGGCATCTTTCTTGTTTCTAATAATGATAATCGCCTGGGTGTTGTGGAGGCTGCTTCAACAATCCCTTCTGAAGTCAAAGTCAACGCACCAGTTCCTGACGATGAACCCAACAGACGCCGAACAGAAGGATCATCAGTAGAAGATGAAGCTGATATATTATAAGTGAAAACCCGCATTGGGTGGTCAAACTTGCAACTCGGTCCAAATTTGCAGATCCCATATCGGGAATAGAAAATACACATTGGTTCTCCCTAGAAAACAGAAAAAAGGAACCAAACAAAAGAAAAAATCTTCAGCACAATCAATGCCCATGATTATCTAAAAGAAATGGCAGGAATAATTCTACTTTGCCTTTCCATTTCAACTTAATCTTTAACCTACTTCATTACTTTTTCTTTGTTATTTTCAATAATGATCAAAGTGGCCAGAGCACAGATGCAGGTACAAAAGCTCGCACAGAATACCGATAAGCTAACATGTAAACCTAGGTATTCTGATATAACAGAAAAAGGCAAACAAAGAGTTCAAGAAAAGACAGATGAGATTGAATGCTTCAATTGTCAAGGAACCTGTGATTATCAAAAACTATGCAGATTTTTGTCAAGGATTCTGATGGGGACAAGGCTCCTGCCCTAGAAGGATTCACGTTAGCTTTCTTCCGAAAAAGGTCGGGAGGTTGTTACAACAGAGATCTTGAATGTCTAGTTCCTTCCACCAGAGTGGATCATTTAATGCCTTATATATAGCCCTAAAGAAGAATGACAGTGAAGAACTAAGGTATTACATGCCCATCAATCTAGTAGGAACATAGAAGATATTTTTAAGCTTCTTCCATAGAGGTTGAAGTTGGTGATTGCTAAGTTGATCTCTAATACTCAGAAAGCATTTCTAATGGAAAGACAGATCGGAAAAGGCTGCTCAGGGATCTATGTACATAGGACTTCAGGAAAGGCTTATTACTATGTAAGTTAGAGCTTCTTAATAAATTTGATTGAGGACATGGCTTTTGGAAAGAGATGGATGAACTGGATTATTTCTTGCATCTTATGAGTCCAATTATAAATCTTGATAAATCGTAGCGCTGACGAAATCTTCCCAGCTCCAAGAATCTTAAGACAGGGAGATCCTTTGTCTCCATTTCTGTTATAATTGGTAATGGATGGCTTAAACTAGATGATTAATACTGCCTAGGCCTTCAATGGATTAGTAGCTTTTCAGTTGGAACTGAAAAAAGTAATTTGTTGAATATATCATGTATCCTTTATGCTAATGATACTCTTTATGAATGAATTCACACAAGAATAAAAGAAGTACAGAAAAGAGAATTGCGGAGACCACCTTTCCAAAGTTCGTCGAAAAGTATGCCAAATACAAGAAAGAAACATACACCACTTAATCATATAATTTGATCAATCCAGCTTTCATGCATGACATAGAATCAAAATCTCTAAACCAATTTAAACCACCATCTTTATCAGAATGAAAAGCATCCAACTACTAATTCCATCACCGGAAATAGTCTAAATCTATTTCAGAACAATAGCCACATCAGCGTCAATAAGCAATTGCGTGAAAGGGCATCATATTAGAAACTAAAAGGTTGACACAAAACAAGCATGGAAATTTAGATAGAAAATTAATATTTAAACTGACAGAAATATTAAAACGGATGGCAAATGTTTTAACTCACAGCGCGCAGAGGGAGACCAATAGGACTCAACAGACAATCAGGAGGAGGAAGGAGCCTTTCCCTTGGATGATGGAATCTACAAACAGCACCAAACTTACAGTCTCCGGTCTTCATGTAAAACTGGCATTCAGGCTGGCCCACTCGTTCAGGAAAAACATTTTCTCCCTGTAATGCATAATACCCCACAGGTAAAGAACTGACACGATATGAGGAATTCATTCCTTCTGATCCCATGGTTGCTTTATCACTTGAACATGAACTCCCATAAACCTGGCTGTTTCCTGCTGTCTGTTGCTGGCCCTCAGCGGATGAAACTGAGCCGAGCTGACCCTAGAAAAAATACCATCTCTAAGCAATCAATGAAAGTATCAGGCCACATATTGGATACAGCAGTCACAAGCTTGTTCAATACAAGAACATATGAGACAACTGTGAGGATAAATGAATGCAACACCTTGCTTGAATATATAGCAATAAGAAGACAAAGACATTAGTTGAATTTGTGAAGAATCCTACTTGTTTTGAGCTCAGAGGGCTCTCCTTTCCCATCCAGGTTACATCTCCTATCAAAAAAAGGATATTGCTAAAGAGCGACATATTCCCATTGTTTATTCCAAACACATTCCCATTTTCATTCCGATTAGTGTAAAACATAGTCTAGAAAATATAAATATAAATATAAATATTATTTGAGAGTATCTGATAAGTCAATCCAGAAGATATATTTAAAACCAGAATACTGTAAGAAGGATCCTTTTATTATTTCCAATAAATTTATAAGGGTAGGTAGCTTCTTCAAACTACTTCACAAAATCTGTATACAAGAACAGAAATTGTTCACTCAAATGGAATAAAAAGGGTACAAAGGCTGGCTAAATGACCCCAAAAGTTATTCACTCAAGGAAGAATGAACTAAGTCACTAGTAAGATTAGACAAACAGCATCCTCAAGACCAACAAAGCAGATCTAATCCCAGGAATTACAATTATTTATATATTAATACAAGTAATTGCTCTACCGCCTAACAAAGATGACATCACAATTCTCTGTTAGAGGTTGGATGACTTTGGAGCAGATTGAAGTTGAGAACAGAACTTTTTGAGAAAAATAAGAAGGTTTAGGAGACGAAAGTGATAGGATAATGGCTTCGGAATTACAGTACATCTAAAAGACTTTTAAGTACAAAATTTATACAACTACACAACAGCGAAAAGACAAGGCAACAAAGAGAACATCGAACCCACACCAAAAACACATCCAGCCTAAAAACTCTTCAAGACTGAAGCAGGATATTCCAAACTTCCAATTAGACATAACAACCAAATGCTAGGAATCATGGCAAGCTTACATTGTATGTAAATCCTGGAAAAGATACCACTCCCTGAAGCACTGGCAGTGGTGCATAACTTGAAGAACCTTGCCAGCGTGCACCAGAAATAAAAGAAGCTCTGGACAAGGGATAGGACATCTGACCAGGAGTTGTAGGAGAAGGACCGGGAGGATAAACAGGAGAACCACGTGAAGAGACCATCATGTTAGAAGGTTCGGGATGATGAAATTTACAAGTACTTCCAAACTTGCATTGTGCAGTTCTCATGTAATATGTACATTCATTCTCATTCTGCAGGTAAGACAAATAATATATTATAATATTATCTGAATAGGATTCAGAGTACAACATGAACAAAGAAAGGAAAACTATCAGCTGCGTCGAGTCTTATTATGACCATAACACACTTAGAACCTCCAGAGCAGCAATTGCACATCTAGAATGTAAGGACAAAAAATCCGTTTGTTAGATGTCTCCTCTGAATTAAGCTNACACACACACACACACACAAAATTTTGGCTGTATTTAAGTGTTCATCATTGCAAGTAAAGCAATATCTAACCAAAATAACATTATAAAGAAAAGGAACAAGAGGAACTAAAATGAAGGTTGAGGATCACAAAAAATCACCATCAACTTAGAACTTTTTGCCTACATTGGGTAACTATTTCAGTTAATTTGATAAGTAGAACAGGTATGTGTCACAATCACGGGGAGGATGTGCTCCATATGTTACTACATTTCGGGCTATCAACAGAGTTTTGGTCCTTAGTATATTCCCTATTTAGTATGACGGGTACCTCCTATAATAGTGGTGGAAGTGATGGTGAGGTTGAGGGCAAGAAAGATGGATGTCAAAAAGAGAGAGATATGGAATACAGCTCCTTCTTGCATATTTTGGATGATTTGGAGAGAGAGAAGATTAGAGCTTTTGAAGGAATTGAAATTCACTGTGGAAAATTAGAAGTTGTCCTTTGTATGTATTTTGGTGTAAAAAGAATACAATGTTTTGTATAAATTGCTAATTGGATCTTCTGGAGGGCTTAATTTCTATCCTTCTATATCTTTTGTAAAGTTGACACTGTCACGATATCAATAAAATAACCTTTTTGCATAGTAACAAAAACAATTTTTGACAAACAGAGAGGTAAATGAGGTCAAACCGGGCGAAGTGGATAGCCCAAGACATTTAGGGTAACTCTTCCAGCAATTCCAGCCTTGTCTCTAGGATGGTGAAACTTGCATGTGGCTCCAAACTTGCAAGTTCCAGTCTTCAAGTAGTACTGGAAAATAGCTCAATAATTCAAATTGTGAGCAAAATAGGTTAGAGGGGATTAATGGAAAGAATGGAAAGTCATAAGTTATCACACGAAATAGGAACATCAACAGCTATAAAAATAGACACCCAATTTAAGACAAGTTGATACAATTAATTGAACAATTCGTGCATCTCGATAAAACTACAGATACTAAGATGTTCATATTTAAAGATAGTGAAGCAGAAAAGAAGTAAGAAAACAATTTAGAAGGTGAAAAAAGGTCAAATAACACAGTAAGATCTTCATTATGAATCTTCTAACAGTGGGTTTAACTGTGATTCTCAACATATCCAAGAAGGTGAAAACCTTCAAAGTCTGAACAAGCATCACATAGTACAGCCAGATTTCATTAAAGAAACCAGCAGGTGTGAGTATTTTACAATACTCGAGCCAAAGACATATACAAATAACAGCTCAGATTTAATGAAAAAACTTAACTTCTTGAAAATTAAAGGACAATGTAATCAAATCTCGTATCACATGCCTCAACCAGTGTATTACAAAAGAAATAAGCGCTTTCAAAGATGCTAGGTACTTTCCAGAGATATTAACTTTTTTTTATAAGGACTTTCCAGAGATATTAATTAAACCACAAACTTGCCAACTATTCTGACTAGAATCAAGATTCAATTATCAACCTCCACAAGAACAACGGGAAGAAGCAAATAAGGCAGTAGATCAAACCATAATGGAACAGGCACCCTAAAAATTAGATGGGGACAGCAATTAGCATCAAATCATACATGTTTATTTAAGTACTCTCATCCATAATATAGCTATGTCTATTGAAGTACTTCCATTCATAAGGATCAATTTAATAATGAGCCATAAGGGTCAATCTTGTTACACTTCTGTTAATTGCTTTTTGCACTTTCCTCTAGATATAAGACATATGGGCCTGGCAACCATACCTGGCATTCTAGTTGTCCTATTCTTTCTGGATACTCTCCGTTCATACTTGCTGCAGCAAGGGCCTACATCAAATACTTCTCCACATCCATAAGTACACAAAATATGAACAAAAGGGTATATACAATTCCATAACCATAAATATTTAAGGATCCGTGTAAAGTCAAAGTTTACAGACACAAGTTAAAATTATTACAGTGAGATGATGCTCGCATTTATTGGAAAGAAAAATACGATTCCGACTTGATATCACATCACATACAGGGAAATTTTCTTTATAACAGAAAATATGTCATGATTAGCAAGTCCAAGGTACAAATCGTATGGTGTAGATTTTGCACTAGCCTAACTTGTAACATCCACCCATCCAGCTGCTCTTTCTTCTTTTCAAATAAGAGTTCGTCATTAACCAAAAGAATTATACTAATCTTCGCTCCTCAATCCATTATTCAAATAACTCGAGTTTTGAAAATACAGAACCTAACTTGTAACATCCGTCCCTCCAGCTGCTCTTTCTTCTTTTCTAATAAGAGTTCGTCATTAACCAAAAGAATTATACTAGTATCTTCGCTCCTCGATCCATTATTGAGATAACTCGAGTTTCGAAAATATAGAAACAATTTAACAACTGAAACTTTAAAGGGAAATTTTGACCTTCAAAAGCTTTCCATAAAGACAAACAAGGGAAAGAAAGAAAATCCTCAATAACATGTCCCTTTACATGCCTTCTTGTAGAAAAAGTATAGGCTTACAAACAGCATCACCATGTCATGAATCATTGGTGAAGGAGAGACTCGTAGCAGAACTTCTCTTGTGGAGTTGTGGTTTTCTAGAGCTGCAATCTTGGGAGATTCTTCAATGAGTTCTTTGAATTCTTAAAAAGAAAAATATAGGCCGACCAGTTCGCAGTGNAAAAGAAAATCCGGATCTTTCCTTCATCTCAACAATGGAACTCTGAGTAGTGGACACAGTCAACCAAAGAGGAAGGAAAAGATAGAAAAAGAGCCAAAGGAGGTGGGAAGTGCACAAAGATTAAGAGAGGCTGAAAGGTGACAAGGGCCGCCAAGCGATTTCCTCCTTTGACGTTTAACTAACACGAGTACTAAGAGAGTATATATCTAGATTCACACAAGTACAAAATCATTGAACTCGAGTAAAAAGAATATTGTCCGGCGCATAGTAGGAGCTTAGTGCACCGAGCTGTCCTTTTTATTATATAGAATATGTTAGTATATTATGTATTTTATTAGAGAATATTTACTTACCTTATTAGGCATGCGAAATGATTACCTACCATATTATAAGTAGGTTAAAACTCTTACATCAGAAGCTCTCTTATATATATGTTAATTGTTAATTAGAAGTTTTCATTTCTTTCTTCGAATCGTAACATAGCCTCAACGATCTTAGTAAATTCTCAAGTAACTTCCACCTACCAGTGGGCGCCCTTACGATGATTGCCCAAGCAATATTATTCCTCTTCTTCTTCCGACCAGCACTGCTCCTCTCTCCGGCAACCGACATCCTTCTCTCTCCGGTGACCATTCTGGTGCCACTTATCTCTTTAGCAACTAGCCTCATCCTCTCTACGATGACTACATCCCTCCTCTATATGGCGATCAGAATCTTCCTCTAAATCTTGAATCTCTTGTCATTGTTCTACCAAATTTAAGCTATGTTGATCATGTCCTAGAGATTTGCAACACCATACCTTCTTCCCAGACTTTATTCCTTCTTGTGTAGTTACTAGAGACTTCTCAGAGGAAACAATTCCAGCACCACTACTTTTTGGTGATTATTCACTATTTCGAAGAGATTTCAACCGCGTATATGCTCCGAAAATAGGCAGAGACTCTAGTAGTTTCCCACTTTAAGTTTGAGAGGGTGTGTTGAATATTAAGAAAATAAGCAGTTATCACACATATCTAGATTCATTAAATTTTGAGCAAGAAATTTATTATGAAGCATTCTATAAAATATGTTAGGATATTATGTACTCCCTCCGTTCAAACTTTATGTGAAGGTGTTTGATTGTACACAAAGTATAAGAATTTAAAAAAGACATTTGACATATAAGCCAAATGTATGCAAAGTACCAAAGTGATTGAGAACTCCACATGTCTTTTTATTTTCTCTCTTCTTATAAAAGAATGAACTTTTAAATTAAGTGGATCGCAACAAGTCATGTCACTAAGCATAAAATGGGGATGATAAGATTTTTTTTTTTTGATAAGGTAATAAAATTTTATTAACGAAGGGTGAACAAACATCCATATACAAGTACACCAAAAAGTAGAAAACCTTATAAAAATATGTGATTTTCTATCAACAACACCCAAGCTTCTATACAAATAGGAACCTCATGGGTGCACCAACAAGAAATCAGAAGAAAGAGGTTATTCCTCAAGTGTACAAAGTTCTTCTCTACCTTGTCAAAAGCTCTCATATTTCTCTCTTTCCATATGGTCCACATAAGTGCTAGTGGAGCAACGTGCCAAGCCCTGTGTCTTCTCTTTCGTTTTCTACCGTTCCAATAGAACAGATCTTCTTTAACACTACTTGGCATCACCCATTCAAATCCAAACCATCTCAATATTCCCCCCTTCAAGTGGACCGCTATCGAATAATGTAATAAGAGGTGATTCACGTTATCACCCGAGCTTTTGCACATGACGCACTGACTGACACATTAATCTTCCTCTTCCTCAAGTTCTCGGCTATCAATATCACCGCTCTCGCAGCTAGCCAAGTGAAGCAGCACACCTTTCTCGGTATCCTAGGAATCCAAACTAAGAGATATACAAAAACTAACTCCTCCCGTATCAAAAGTTTCTCGTAATAGGACTTAACTGTAAACACACCATTATGTACTATCCCCCACCTCCATGCATCATGTCCAACCTGAGTAATTCTTTGATACTGGAGCAACTTGACCAAATTTTGAAATTCTATAACCTCTCAATCTTGCAAGTTCCACCTAAACCTCAAGTCCAAGTGAACTTTTCCACCTTGTAACTTTCACATCTGTTGAACTGGCATCTCATTTTGGCATGAAATTGTGACCGTGTTTGGAAAGATAGCACTCAAAATGTTGTTCTCGCACCACATATGTCCCCAAAAACTTACCGTAATCCCTTCACCCGCTCTAAAAAGTACATTCCCATTAAACTCTTCTCACTCTCTTCAAAATATTCCTCGATAGTCCATACCCGTAAAGGGGTGTGATATCTTATGTCCTCCACCCTCCTCCAAAACCCCATGTTTCTCTATGATCACCTCTCCAAAAAGCATTTGCCTCTACCCAAAACCTCCACAACCACTTTCTGAAGCCTTATTGAAAACCTTTAAGTCTCTAATCACAAGCCCAACCCATCTCTTTGGTGTTGTGACAGTCTCCCAATTTACCAAGTGAAACTTCCTATCCCCGCTATGGCTTCCAAAAGAGAAAGGTGTCATTCCTATTGAACAGATTGAAAAGGAAAGTCTTTCACATAAAATAGGACATAAAAGGAGCATTTAATTATAAAATGTTTACTAAACTTATTAGGCATATGTAATAATTACCTAACATAGTGTAAGTAGGTTAAAACTTCATGTATAAGAAGCCTTTGTGAACTTGTTAATTAATCAAATTCATCAAAAGCTCTCTTCTTCTTCTTCTTTAGGAAGGGTAATGCTATCTACTCAAGTCATTAAATTGTACAGTGAACTTAAGTTACAAACTGGAGCAGAAGGGAAATCCAATGCCATATACAATCACAAATGAAATACACAAAATCAATAACTTTTAGTAATTATTTCTTATAGACTGATTATTCGTCAAAATCACTTTAAGTTTAACTTGCATGTCCATCAAACAAGTGAAAGTGTGAAACTCATCCAGATGACTTAATCTATGTATAAGTTAATTCGGCATTAAATTTCCATCCAATACGGCATTGATGCAATGAATAATATTTTCCATCTCTTAGGCGCATCCGGTGTTCAACTAGCACTCATATATTTCAATGAGAGGGCCACTATATCTCCTAAAGATTACAAATATCATCCACAGTAATACAAATGTTAGTTTCCAATACTCTGGGTCATTTAAGTTACAAATAAGAGGCTAAATTTCTCCGGTTAGAAAGGGTACAAATGACTCTGTTTCTTATGGTATATATTATGTCGGTGCTGAAGAATAGCTAATTGCCTTTACCGGAGATAGGGTCCCCTCGGTTCACCCTACCCACCTCGCTACAATCTTTGTCTTGTTTAGAATTTCATCTTGACTTATGTTTTTGTTGCTTAATGTATTAACAATTTGCAATATAAAAAATTGCTTATATCACCTACAAATGTCTTGCGTCAACCTACAGATGCACCAGTCTGCAGGTGCGAAAGTATTGTGAGTGAAGGTGTTGAAAGGGAATGGGATAGACCTAAAATCGCATGGAAAAAAACTTGTCTAAAAAGACCTACAAATCCTTGGAATTAATTCAAGCGTAACTAAGGATTGGACACAATGGAAGAAAAATATCCATATAGGCTACGTGAAGGTAGTAAGTTAGCAAGGTACCCATTTTTTCTTTACCCAAAACACCTATGTTAATACTCTAACTAACTTTGCCAACACATTAAAGACATGGGCATTTTCGTCTCTCTCAACAAATCCCCAAATTTCTTCCCTCTTCTCTTGATTTTACCTCAAATGTTCACTCTATAATCCATGGCGGGAAACTAGGAGCTAATTCAGCCATGCTTCTTCTCAAATACTCCATGTTTCTTTTTCAAAATCTTTTTATCTTCTTCCAATGTCGACCAGTATTTTCACTTGTATTATTTCAAAATTCTGGAAATTTGAGATTGCCGCCATTAAAGCTTCCATGACCTCTTTCCTCGGGAGGACCCATTGCATCTTGTGGAAAAGTTTACCCTGAATTCTTGTTTCTGCCGATTAATATCTGGGTTCGATTGTTGAAGAAGACGCTGCAGGTATTAAATTTCTATAATAATATAATGAATTGGTTGCATCCTTCATTTTTTTTTTTAAGAAATAAGGTGTTTCATTAGCAAAAGGCATCAAGGAGATGCAAGTTACAAAAGTAATGAAATGCAAAAAATAAGAATTGTAGCTCCCTTTACAGTGTCAATCTAAGACCAGGGAGCTAACATCCTTCATAAATTGTTGTATAAAGAATGGGTCTTAAATTTCTTTAGTGGGTTACAGATTCATGCTTGAACTTTGTGAGATGAAATGATACGAGGTGGGGCAAAAGAGAGAGGAACAGGGGAATCGTAAAATGACAATTTTGTTTAAAATTTATCAAGGAGATGGAGAATTAACAAGGGTGTTTTGAGTAAAGCAAAAATGGGTACCTTGCTAACTACCTTCATGTAACACGTTGTCAAGATCCTATATATATATATATAAAAAAAACTTTTTATGTTGATGACATGAGTTGAGCTTAAATGGAGAACTGAGGTGTAGTTGTTGTTGTTATCTTACCTACAACTTGCTACTAATTCAATACAACAACCATAAGATACAAGTCATCATATCCCATCTATAATACCTCTTAGTCTCTTTCAAACAACTGATATCCCTAATCACATCATAACAATCCTCTTTGAATGACCAAATAATAATAATCAATAATCCCACCAAATCATGAACACAACGAAATGATAGACTGACTACACTAACTGGTTTTCTCTTAGTGAGAGGCTGCCAACAAAATGAGGCATGTCATCAACATTTCAAAGACTTTTGAAAAGTGAATTTACCCAAGCCAATACATTTCTTGTCATATTAAACTTTCTCGTTTTCTTTTTTCCCCCTCTTAACGGATATGCTTTCCTTACCAGTTTCCTGTTAGGTGGATGGTTGAATTGGCAAGTTGATCCAAATCTGCAGAGACCAGTTCTGATGTAATAAGAACAATCTGGTTCACCTTCACGAACAGGATAAGGTCCAGACTCCATTGATTCCATTGACCTCAAATTCATTTGCCATAAAGAGTCTGAAATACCAACAGTATGGAATAATAAACAATGGTATTAAATGATGGATTAATCTAACTCAATTATCCTTTAATACCAATCTCGCTACCATACATTTATTATTCTGCAATATCTGCATCTTGTTAAATCAGTAATAACACCTCTGACCAGTATTACAAACAATTTTGAGTTCCTCCAATATAGATATTATCAAATGCCAGTGTGTCTCTTGAACACATTGACAAGACATACACTTTTCTCCAAAAAAGAAAGAAAGAGTTTAAAATATATATATATATATAACGACAAGACATAAGTCTTGATAGTCCAGCTGACATGTTAGTCCTTGAAGGTCGATACAAAGGCAAGCACTATAATACGTAGTTTAGGTTCATTACAAGTAAATAAGTTTTTCCAGGCATGAGAAAAGCATCATAGTTGATCAACCTCACATCCCTACTTACGTCACACTTAGACATGTACTACTTTCTTTCTTTCATTCTTTCTTTCTTTTGATGAAAAGGACAAGAGTTTTATTGATTATGTACCAACTTTCTTTTAGCCATATCTGAAATTAATCAGTGCATAAACATAGAGCAGATTGGCAGTTCCCTATGATATTTACTTTCCTCATACGGTCTTACTGACCAATTGTTCTACTTGGCCGCTCATACTTGGTTCTGGGTCAAAAAAGGCATGTATTAATACTACAAAAGTAGGTAAACAAAAGGGGGGATGGAAAATAATTGTGGAATGTCTCTCATGCAAACATACTTGCGCATACAAGTATAATTAATAAACACACAAACACGCATACTACACATACATATGTAGCATATATATGTAGAGGCAGATGCAGCGTTTTGGCACCGGATTCATCCGAACCCAACACTTTCGACATGAGGCATAAATTTATATTAAAAACTCACTAAAATTGCAACAAATATTATGTCTGAATCCATAATTTTAAGGGCACAATAGGTTCAACGCTAAGAACCTTAAAGGTTGAATCCACATCAAGTTTAAATCCCGAATCCGCCACCCATATATGTACGGCGTAGTTGTAACTGGTTGTTTGTATGGTATGCTTACATACATATAAGATGTGTCCGCTATATATTTGATAATGGTGGTGATCCAGCTAACTTGCGGCACACCAGGACTATTCCACCAAAACATGAATCCTCCACCAGTACAGCTACCACTTCCTGGTTACTTTGTCTATTAAGACGAGGGCAAGAAGTAAAAAACATCTAACAAGAATTTCGACCCTAGTCTCCCATGATCTTAGTTCATGCTTCACCAACACCCTTTGATTTTATACTATGTATGTCTGCATGTGATCTACTTAGAACTAAAACAAATTTATTCGCGTATCAACTTTACATAGGGGGGAGAAACAGCTCTTTTCTAATTAAAAAAAATCCTCATAGACATCAATGCAAAAACAGAAAAACAGAATATCCAAGTTATAGCTTATAAAGACCTTTTTTCTGTTTACATCTACTTCAAACTCAAATTACTGATTGAGAGGTAGAATAAAAGACAGCTTTTAATTTATATCACAACAGTGCACATTAACTTCAACAATTACATTGATCATCCCAAAATTACAGAATTATCCTACGTGCGTGTCAGAGACAGAGGAGAATGAGCGCGTAGAGTAAGAAGGAGGAATAGGAAAGGGAGGACCTTGGCGGAGAGACGGTGACAAAGAGGGAGGTCCTTCGGACACAGAAATATCCATGGTGATGATGATTCATCCATTAGCAGCGCGTGAAGCTAACGAATTTCGCCGGAATTTCCATTGATTCCGAGCTCCCACTACTCTCCCTTGATCAAATGCAACAAACCAAACTGGCAACAGAGAGAGAGAGAGAGAGAGAGAGAGAGAGAGAAAAGGAAAATTCAGAGAAAAACAAAAAGTGAGATACAAACAAAGGGAAAGGAGAGTTGCTCTCCTCTCCACACAAAAACAGTCCTTTTTGAGAGAGAAGAGAGAATAAAAATCAACCGTCCACTCACAGGAGAAAAGAGGGAATTTTTATTTTTCTTTCACCTACAAACCGACGCCTTTTGTCCACCTTTACTCCCGCCCGTACCTTGAAGCTAGCGGAATACAT